CCCCCCCCCACCATCCACTGCATCTGTTAACTGACACAACAGTGAATATTAATGGAGCAAATAAAAACAGCCCAAAGCCATCCCCCCCCCCCCCCCCCCCACCATCCACTGCATCTGTTAACTGACACAACAGTGAATATTAATGGAGCAAATAAAAACAGCCCAAAGCCATTGTCATATTAGCTGTCAATCCGTCACACGTGTGTTACTCTGTTGCTCTGGGAGTAATAAATTACGTCTTATCACTCAAGCAGCTGCAGATGTTTTGGGGGGGGGGATTTAAATGGTGGGCATCGTATAGCATCCAAATCGTCACATTCACTTTTTAACCTGTAATTACAATTGCTAAGAGGGGGAAATGATTATCACAGAGCCCAGAAGAGAATCACTGCGTTGCTTCAGTTTTAATTATACCATTCAGTAGCTATTGTCTTCCACTGGAAAGTTGAAAGTCTCTTGTTTCGTTGTACAATGCAAGAGATTAAATGCAAGGCTGGAGGACATGGTGGCAACTACTTCTTGTGAGGCCGTGTCAAATGATTGTGAGCGTAGTTGTGCCGTCTCTGCACCCGCCACAGACACGTGTTGGGTCTATGACTGCCTGGGTTGGCTTCCATTTAAATGCGAATGAGTGCAAAAAAAATCTGACTAAACAGAAGTTTTGTTATAGGATTGAAGTATCCTATATTAGTCCTGATTGTCTAGAAAATTGCTAATGAGCTCAGTGGAAGGAGGGAAAAATGGTTCAGTGAAGGACACGATTATTCCATGAGTAATACCAGGCTGATATTGAATCAGTCATGGGACTGTGCATTAGATTTATGAGCTCAAGAAGAAATTCAAATAATAAAAACATAAAACGAGACGTTCTTTGGATGGATGTACTGAGGGTCATTGCGTGTTAATGAAAGGCTTGCTAGTTTCATTGCCCCTTTGTTTTCACACACGTGGCAACGCGGTGCGGAGGAGAAGGGAATTAGCACTAAGGGTGGCTCTCGCTGTCACGGTAGGTGCACCTAACACCCTGTGCACAGTGCCACCTGCTGGTGCCAGATGTGTAACTGGGTGGCATACCTTTCAATGTGTCAGATGTTGGCTGGATCTGACTGGGACCTGAGGTTGTGAAACTCCTAGTCTTGGCAGTGGCCATGTGCCTGCACTTGGCTGAGGCTCCTGGAGGCAGGCTGAAATTGTCTACCACCTACTGTTCATCCCCAGGCCACATTTTCTCATGGTGAAGACATCATTTTGAATTGCAAGTGAGCAGTAAGGAGAGGGATATCCTGGCAGGAAATGACAGTTTGCAGCCGGGGGGCAGTCCTGTGATCCCCCCCCCAAAGATGGATGACGGAGACTTTGTAGACTCCCGCAAAGCCATGAAAACACTTTGGTGGAAATTCTCCTGTCCCCCCTTCCTTTGTTCCTACTTTAACTTGAGCTGAATATAAAAATACCTCTCTTCCCTGTATTGTGGAGAAGACCTGATGTGCACAGCAGTCCTCCAGTAAGCCGGCAAGGTCAGTCAGAGATCCTTGAAGAAGACTCGGCTGTTCCCCGTACCAGAAGCTCTTGGTCTTCTTCGCCATAGGGAACTAAGCAGGAGAAGAGTTTCTCTGCTAAGTTCAGCCAGCTGTGTAATGATGTCTGAGGCTTTGGACTGGTTGTTAAATACTTCAAGCCATGTCGGAGATGACCTACATTTTTTAGTTACTTAGCCGCTGCTTTTATCCAAAGTGATGGATATTTTTAAATAAGTTGGCTTACGCTGTCCCTGGGCATAAAGGACCTTAGTCAGGGGTGGAATCACTCCACTGACTCTGGGATTCGAACTAGAAACCATCCGATCACAGGTATGGCATCCTAACCCACTGATCCCCACACCGCCCCAACTTAGTGCGACTTCTTTCAGGGGTACTTTGTAGAATGAGGTCCCTAGACCTACTGCTTAGCATAATATGTTTGGTGATGAGCCCGGAATTGAATGGAAAGGATCAGAATGATTCATGTGCTTTGACTGCTTCCTTGTAGGGTTGACTGTGGCATCGTTGCCTCAGTCTATTAAGTGAAGTCAAGCTGCAGCTTTGCTTGAAATTCAGTGCCTGGATCTTCTTGGTTCTCTTCCAGCCAACTTGGGCGTTTAAGGTGACCAAGCTGGAAGCAGGAGTAGGAGAGCCGTAAGCTGAAGCCTACGGCGGAGTCGACTGTAAGTGGGTGAAACTGGCATGAGGTGCCCGTGCCTTCATCATGACACAGGGAGAATACGTGGGTGGGCAGGTGGCCTCGGCATGCTCTGCCTCAACATGCGTTGAGTGGGCTGTGCAGATTTCCCAGAACTCCATGGTATTTCATCTCGCTCTCATATGCTCATGAGATCTCAAACAAAGATGCATCTCTAGCATCCTCCAACGCAGGTGGAGGTTGATGCATTACTGTTGTTTGGCTTTGCTATTCATCCTGCACCCTTCACCCAGTGAAATATGTTAAAATTGGATAACATTGCTAAGCAGACATATTCCCCATAAAGACATAAAAAACCTCTTTATACTCTGTTTTAGACAGCTGGTCCAGTGCGCAGTAATTCACTTTAAACAGCAATTCCAATAAAAGCCACATAATACGTTTCTCACTGATGGGAAAAAAATGGTTTTCTTCATATCTGTATCAGGTTGTAGATGCTCTTTATAGGCGTTTGGCAGTTCAGTTGTACTTTTAAAAGATCAGTATCAGCAAAACACCCAAACCAGCGCTGGGCAGATTTTATGCTGAGAAGGACGGCTTGTGTTGCACCCGCTCTGGCAGCACCCGCTGGGCACAAACCCCATGCCGTCCTGGGACTTAATCTTACTGGTTTCAGCCAGCTGTACTTCCGCCATCGATTGTGTTGCCGCAGGGGTGACAAGAAGCGGAGAAAAGGCACTCTGTTGGCATCGGATAGCGCGATGGTCTCTAGCGGCGAAAGACTGGCTAACACACGCTGCTTTTTGATGAGGCCTCGTGTGAGTGATGCGGGGGGGGGGGCAATGCACCCTGCAGCACATCTACAAAAACGTGCCCTGTCACATGAGGAAAACATGCATCCATGTACCGCGAAATGTATAAAGATCCGGCTGTCGCTAATGGTTAAACTCACATTAGTATTATAATGGGTGCTGTACAATGGGAGTGGTTTTAATCTGCCCCTTTCAAACCGCCTGGAGCTGAGGATGAAAGGGAATGTAGCCATCATTGAGGTGTGAGAGAATAGGGTGTTTACCTAAAGGACCATGGAGAACCTGTGGGTCTGTCTTAGGAAAACAGTATGAACGTGCAGAGAGATCTAAAAGGTAAACAGCTGGAGAGACACCACACCCTTATTTCTGTGTAAAGCAATATGACTCCTTTTATTCTCTCTTCCTGGAAGGTATCTTCTACAACCTTTGCTAGTCGACAAAGTAGAAAGTCTTCTAAAGGGAAGAGAATTTGATCGCAGGGATTGCTGTTATTGTCCAAATGCTTTTCATATGTTTTCGGGCATCACACAAAAGCTTGAAATGAATCGTCATTGTGCGCTCACGCAAACTGATGTCATGAGTACACAAAGTGGGTTTGGAACACATACAGTGTGTGTGGAAGTAGAAGGTCTCTCATATGTTTGTATTCATATCTCTGTGGGGGCCGTCCATTAATTTCTATGAGAAAGACCTTAACCCCTAACCCAGCCCAAACCGTAAAATAACCAAGCAAACTTCAAGACTTTGGACATTTCTAGTTTTTATTTATTTATTTATTGATTGATTGATTATTTTGGTGCAGCCACAGATTTTAAAATGGAGTTTCCCCTTATTAGTACCGGAAAAAACGCTCCCCACAGCACCAAAATGACAGGTTTTTATCACAATGTGGGGACATTTGGTGCCTGCTCTGTAATGTATACATAACCCACACACACTCACATACACACAGTGCCTTGGACTGGACTGGCTCTTTAAGATTAGAAGTGAGGTTCAGCAACAGGGTTAAAAAGGGAGGTAAAAGATGTAAATCCACACCCTGTTTCTCTGGGGTTTATCAGCCCTGGGGTTTGGGCAGAACTGTTTGAACAGATACAGTAAATTTACTGAGTCCTGCCTCGGCCAGCAGAGCTGCCCTTTGGCCCCCAGGGTCAGCAGCGTGTTGTGAAGTCGGCACTCTGTTTGTGGAAATTTCCGGACTCGCTTTTGACTCGGGAGCAGTACGGTTCCTGAAGGGTCTGTCGCTGAAGCCTGCCCCTTCGTCCCACCATGTGACTCATGCTGGTCTTTTTAAGAACCTCAGTAGACAAACCAAAAAGGTCAAACAACCTCCTCTGATGTACACAGCAGAAACCTGCCCATGTCACAATCATGGCTCCCAGTGAGCGTGCTCAGTGTAAGGGCTGGTCATGTGACATGTAACGAAACTGATTAACCAGTTAACTGTGCATTCATACCCTAGTGTATTTGACTTATTATTAAGGGGCTCCTTTACAGTATATGTCAGTCTAAGCATTATGCCTCCATAGTGAGAGAAGCCTTTCCCTGAGTGATTTAGAGAGTGACTTTTACAGCTCCGTCACTGAGGCTGCAGGTATTATTTACAGCGAGTATTTCCTTGTCAACTTCTGCTTCCTTTGAATTTCCAGCTCTTGTACTTTCAGACATGACGAGGTGAGGCAAACAGTATAAGGGTAATAATGATCTTTCATTTGCCATTTTTATGAGTGTGAGCTCACAGGAACCCTTCGGTTTTTGCCTTACGGCTCCTGAAGTTGGGGGTCAGAGTGCAGAATCAGCCATTTTTCTTGTGCCCCTGGAGCATCAGAGGGTTCACTTCTTAATCCTTGTTCAAAGGCCTGACATTGATATGATTACCCAGTCAGCCGTGGGATTCGAACCGCTGACCTTCCGGTACAGGCACAGAATATTAGCTACACCCTTTATAATCAGGATCAGTGTGCTTTAAATGTTGATCTTTCCATAAACTGTCATCTCTTGTGGTGGCTTCTCTTACATATTGTTACATGGATATACAATGGAAAAATATTACGCTGGAAACCAATGATTCACTTGGAGGTACTTTCATTACTGGACCAGATCATTCATTTTAAATCAGATTGTTAATATTCCATTATGGGTCTTAAATTAGTTGGTTGTATGTCTGGTTTATGTGTCCATGTACTGGGTAAGCGATTGGAAGGTCATTAGAATTGCCAAACTTAAGCTGCATTTAAGATCTTAGTCAATGGATGCAATTT